CACACACACACACACACACACACACACACTTATACACATGCATGCACTCACACATATACACACTCATTCACAAGCACACACTCTCACACATGCACTCACTTGCACCCTCTCGCACACACATGCACTCACACACATGCAAGCACTCATTTACATGCACACACTCACACACGTGTGCACACAATCCCACTTATGCAAGCACTCACACACATGCACGCACTCAGTCACATGAACGCATTCACACACATGCACGCACTCAGTCACATGAATGCATTCACACACATGCACACAATGCATGCACTCACACATGCACACACTCACACACGTGTACACATAATCACACACATGCACACACTCACACACATGCATTCACTCACTCAAATACACACACTCACACACATGTGCACAAAATCACACCCATGCACACACACACAATCACTTGCACTGCAGTTAGCTGGAAGACCATGATGGATGACCCATCCATCATCTACTCATCAAAGAATAGTAACATCTGGTAACAGTGGAGACAATCCTGAGCCAGTACCTGAGAAATTTGACAAGTACCGTTTGTGAACCATGGCTGGGAGAGTGCTGGTTCCAGAAAGGAATATTTCTGTGCCCAGAATCCTATTCCTGGTGCAAGGTGTCACAGAAAATTGAGTCATACAAAAATATTTAAAAATTATACAAACAATAAAAGGTTACTTATTGCTGTTGTTGCTGCACAGAGTTGTAGACTATCTAGAGAAATGATATGGAGATTGTGCAAGGAGAACAGCCAATTTATTTCTTAAAACAGTATATCAAATGACAAATATAGAACTTGGAAAAGGGGGGGGGAACACTAATGCTGAGGAAGAGCTAATAACATTGCAATAGGGAGGTTAAGGAGTCCTGACACTGCGCATGAGTGTTCTTGTGGGCCTGGCCTACATACCCAGGATAGTTGCCACTTAAGTAAACCTAATACCCAGATTTTGAGCCACATGCAGGCAGCAAGTCACCCTGATCCAACAGGCTGATACACATTATGTATCTCTGATTTCAGTAATCTAAATTTCTGGTTGGGTGTTTATAAACTGTGATATAATACCAAATTTTGCTTTTGTTTTGACCCATTGGAATAGTTTAATTCTTAAAATCACTTCTGTAATACCTAAGAATCAAAATCAAGTTCCTAATGATTCGAGGGTTTCTCTTTTGAGTCAAACATCATTATCCCATACTAAATCTCACTGCAAAGGTTTTCAGTTCCAAGGAAAAGGGTCAGGAACACTTCCTGCTATACAAGAAAATATTAGCTCCAGGGTGTTTGACAATCACTGTATACTGCATTTGTATTTTCATTTCTAAGGCTTCCTTCACTCCCCCTAAACACACACATGCACACATATGCACAGATATACTTCTAAACAACAACTAAATAAATAAATTCTTATCAACTATCAATAAAAAACAATGATCAGCACTTTGTGTACAATGGATCTTCCTTAAAGGAATCTTTCCCAAATGAATATAATAATATCAAATAAAGATAATGATGGCGACTATGGTTGTGGTGGTAGTTGCTGCAGCTATGATGTTGACAACCATGATGATGATACAGCATATGCATAGTAGCCAAACAAATCAGTAAAACAAAGCAATACAATAAATGCCACCATAACCAATTTAGAGGAATGAATGAATGAATGAATGATTAATGAAAATCATGCTTGGTGCTACAACAGCATGGTCATAAGATAAGAAACCTAATGATTAATTAAAATGTAACAAGTAAAACCAATACAGAAATAAATTTTCAGAATATATGAAATTGAAAAAAAACTTTTTAACTGCATAGTTAATATAATAAAATATGTGAGTAAATTACACCTTCGAGAGAACACAAGCTTCCTCATGTCCAATAGTGTGGCCTATTTCTCCCAGGAACAGAAAAAGGCAAAAGGTACCTTCCTGCCTCTAGCACCAGGACAGATACCTCTCTCACAACTCCCCAAGACTGTGGCACTTGACCAGCAAGTGTCATACATTCAAGGGGACCAGTCAGCTAGTTCAGAAGAACCAGAGACAGACATGAGTTGAACTGAGCTGGGCATAATCAGTGCAACACTTGATGATGAGCAAGGTAATGGCTTACCAATGAGGCCTATGAGGCTCACTGGCTCACTAAGTGTTACACAAAATGCAAATCTTATAAAAAAAAATATAGAATACAATATGAAGGGACAAAACTATCTATAACCTTAGCAAAGAAAGGACTCAGAAAACATATCAAGAAAGACATATTTTGATATGAAAAATAGCATAAGAGGGAAAAGACCAATGCATTGAAAATCAGGAAAAACATTCCCAATGCAATCAAGAACACATTGTTAATTTAACATCATGTCAAATATATACCAATGTGATGCAAACAAAAAATTATGTACCACAGAAAGAAAACCAATAATTTTATCAATTACAGAGTGGAAGTCTGTAGATCAATCTGCCCAAACAAAGCAATCCACTGAAGGAGTCAAACTCATAAAAAATACTTGTTTTGAAAAGCTGCACTACTCTGATTTCACAACTGTGTTAACCCACAAGAGCTTTTCCATATTCCAGGGCACTTTATATTAAGAATGTTTAGATCAGCAGTCACATAAGGTGAAAAATTAAAGGCATGGATACATAAAAAACCTCCTCCAATATTAACTGTGACACTGGCATTGGATAAACCCATTGGAGGCTAAGATAACAAATGTAAGATTATAGAAGTTAGTACCATGTACACAAACTTCCCTTTGCAACTGAAATTGTTTTACAGAATAAGTGCTACATTATAATGCTATGACACTTACATTTGATTATTAACAGAAAAAATATACATCAAAAAAAAAAAAAAAAAAAAAAAAAAAAAAATCTTGGTATTCAGTCGAATGTGGTTTCTTTGCTCAAACTAAGTAATATACATAGTCTTATGAATATGTTAGTGACAGTATACATGCTAAGAAAATTAAAAGCAATGCAACTTACTTGTTGATGTCATCATAACAGGACTCACAAACACGAACTTCACGCTCAATGCCGAACTTTGGGATGGTGGAAAATTTGCTTGAGCAATCCCCACAAAAGACTTGCCCACAAGCACGGCAATGGTGCTGCAATGCAATTATTAGTACGTGTTATTATCTAACCTCCAAAAGATCATGTGACTAGATGATAGGAGTAATATTAACACATAAATGATCTTAGGAGCAAAAAATAAATTTAAAAAAGTCAGGAGCTAGATACATCAAAACATTAAAAGTATAGATATCCGTACCTTTCGCCTTATAATAGTAAACTGTGACCTACATCGGTGACAGCATTCACCGTCGGCCCAATCTGGTGCTCGGTCGGCTGTGAACATAGCATCACTCTCACTCACAGTTGGTAGATGGAAACCTTCTGTTCTAAGAATGTTCACAGTATCCTGTAAAAATATAAAAAATAAAACAAAGCATTATAGACACAACCATAAAAAGCAATAAGATGGAGGGAGATATCTAGAGACACAGGAGAGGGAGAGGGAGAGGGATAGGGAGATGGAGAGGGAGAGGGAGAGAGGGAGAGGGAGAGAGAGAGAGAGAGAGAGAGAGAGANACCTGTAGTGCAAGTGAAGGAGTGAAATCCACTCCATTGCCGACAGCGATCTCCTCAGGCAAAGAGCTGCACCATCCTCAACTTTATCTGTCGCCGCAAGGATCACCCACGACTCTGAGTGTTCGGCTGAAGGACGTTCTTTGCCTGGAGTGTTAATCACATCCTCCAGGCAGTCCAACTGTTCCAGCCTAGCTGGAGAACTCGCCACGACGCCGCACCGACGCACAGGATGGTGCGAGGACGACCGCCGTTGGAGGAAGCACCCCTCAGAGAGCAAGGTTACCTTCCCGCGTCTCTACTGCTTGGGACCCGCGACCAGTGCTCGAAGCCACAAGACAGTTGACCCAGCACACTTGACCGGGGCCCACGGCCCTGACCACGCCTCTCCTTGGGGGCGCTCCCCCACGCGCGCCCCGCTCGGCGCCCCTCTTGGGCTTCCTTGCCCACAACACGTGCCACGCTACCTACCAGCCACCTATTAATAAACAGCTGAACCAGAATTGTGTCTCCATAAACCCATCTGAGGCAATTGCAACTCAAGCAAGTCCTCACGGACTATTGCAATTGTCTCCCTAAGCATGTTCCTCTGTCTATCCTTGGACAGTGAATTATTGAAAAAAATTAAAATTCATGAAAATATTTGTATTAACAATCTTTGCAATCTGATATATTTTGATTATATCTTACAGCCCCTGCTATAACACAACACCCCCCCCCTGTTTGCCCTCCTGTTTCTCGCCTTGTCTCTGCCTCTGGTGTGCTTTTTTTCAGAGAAAGCCAGCTCCATCCCGTCGGGGGCGACGGTTAGTAGCGTATGCCGAACGATCTGAGGAACAAGGGTTACCTTCCCGCGTCTCCACTGCTAGGGACCCGCGACCAGCGCTCGAAGCCACAAGACAGTTGACCTAGCACACCTGACCGGGGACCACGGCCCTGACCACACCTCTCCTTGGGGGCGCTCCCCCACGCGCTCCCCGCTCGGCGCCCCTCTTGGGCTTCCTTGCCCACAACAACCCGCGCCACGCTACCTACCAGCCACCTCCTATCAATAAACAGCTGAACCAGAATTGTCTCCATAAACCAACCAAATCAGAGCAAACACAAAACCCCTGACACACCCTGAACGTCGCACTCAGCCTCATTGCTTATTGCAAGATAATGAGAAAGCAAAGATGATCTGGACTCTGGAATGACAAAAAACAACGACACGAGATCGACTTCATGCTGACCCCAGATCAACGAAGAAAGTGTACTGAAGCCCAGGATGTCAGATTCTGTCACAGTGATAAAACCCAGGAGTGCCATTTCCTGGCCCTTCATAGGATTCACTCAATCCTGTTGAAGGCATGAAGAAGGTGAATAATGCTAAGTATACACTATGTTTCTGGCGGCCATGACAGCTCTATTTGCTAGAATCATAGTGCACCATGCGATTTTGGCCATTTTTTTTGCTGATGTTGCTATTCTATTAGAGACTTTGGAAACCTTAATGGTATCTCTGGATGCATTCAGCAATGAAGTGAAACCCTTGGGTCTAGAGGTCTTCTGGACCAAAAACAAGGTCTAGGACTTTGGGGACCTGCTAGGAGAATCTGTACAGTCGGTACGTGCTTGCGGGCGAGGACATTGAAGTCACAGAGACCTTTATATACTTTGGTATTGTAGTTCATAACTCTGGCCTGTCAGCCCAGGAAGTCAGTCATGAAGTCTCTCAACAAGAGTATTTGAAGATGTCAGTACCTGTGTAGAAGGACCAAGCTACGGGTTTTTCAAGGCCCTGATAATGCCAGTTTTGCTATACGGTAGTGAAACCTGGACATTATCCTATGCTTTGGATGCCCGTCTTGAACCCTTTTATAATAGGTCCTTGCGCCGGATCATGGGGTACTGTTGGCGGGACCATGTGTCCAACCAACGGTTGCACCATGAGATTGGCATAGGACCTGTTATCTGCACAATCCATGATCGCCAACTCAGGCTATATGGTCACCTGGCTTGCTTTCCTTAGGATGATCCTGCCCATCAGGTCGTTTCTGTTCGAGACAACCTTGGGTGGAGGAGGCCTGTGGGGCGACCTAGGAAGACGTGGCTTGGGCAGATTCACCAAACCTGTCGTGAAGAACTCGAGATGGGCCGAGTCCCTGCCTGGTATCTTGCCATGAGGGATCCTCAAAGGTGGAAACAAAGGGTGGATGTGGCTATGCGCCCCCATTGGCGTTAGCTCCTTCATGAAGATGATGAGGGAGGAGGGACTGCTCCCAGAGGATCAGAGGTGAACTATGTTTCGGTCGACGGTCTACCACAAAAAGAAACATGTTCCCTCCAGGTATGGCACATTGTGATCAAGTACATCATATTTTTCCTGTTCTGGTAAAAGGTATGACACATTTGTCCCATTTTGTCAAGGCTTTCTTTTCATGAAAGGGAATGCCGGGCAGCTTTGGAGCACGTTTGTGACTATGGTATGGAAAAGAGTCCACTAAACCAATAGCAGTCACTTTATCCTAAAGCTGGTGATGACCCTGGGAGCCTTAAAGCAGGTACTTACTCAGATTCCTAACTCTGGGTTTCGGTCAACAGTTGCATTTAGCAGCAAGGATAATCATGCTGCCCTGGGTCCTGCTTCTCTACTGGCGGTGTTGGTGATGCAGGCCAGGGAACCATCTTGCATTTTGAGCTTTTCGGTGACAGTTCATGACAGACTGTGGCCTCCCTTAACACTGGACCAGATCACAGAAGAGTGCAATGCACTGTACCATTCTAAGACCATTATTAGCGAGACCCGCTGGTGCTAAACGCGATGAAACACTTACCATAAGCCCTAACTTCCCGTGAGAACTGTTACAAAATTTGACAAACTGCACACTAATTGAACATCAAACTTGAAGGGACTATGAGCTGCCAGGGAATATACATGTGGACCGCCTCCAAGTTTTGATGAGGCGTATTACGTACTGTTACACTTTGTTGAGTTCATCCCGTTTTACTAGGGTCTATGAAGTTTCTCATCTGCGCCGTGACTGCCATAGCACTTTTTTGGAATTTCTAAAAATCTGAACCGGCAAGACCTATTACCCGATTCTGGAGTACAGCGTCATCAAAACATAGATGGCGATTCCAGAAACAGTTTTGAGCCAATTCAGTAAATGTGAAAATACGCACCGGTATCAGTGCTGGAAATCTGAAGGAACCGGATTATCGATGTCCGGATTATTGAACGTCAACCTGTATTACTACTACTATTATCATTATCATTATCTTTTTTCATTATTTATTATTGTTATTATTATTATAATCATTATTATTATTATCATCATTATCTTTAATATTACTATCATCAAGATCATTATTGTTACCATTATTATTATTATATATTTTGAATTATTATTATTATTATTATTCATTATCATTATTACTGTTATTACCATCATTATTATTATTAATACTGTTTGATACTGTTATTATCTCCATCACCATATGATTATTAGTTATTATTACAATCATTATTATCATTATCATTATTATCATTATAGATGTTATCATTATCAAAATAATTAATATTGATATTACCCTTGTTTTTCTTATCATTATTACTATAATCATCTTCGTCATCATTGTTATTACTTCATTATCATTATTACTTAAATCATCATTATCATTATTACTAAAATCATTATCATTATTACTAAAATCATCATTATCATTATTACTAAAATCATCATTATCATAGTCATTACTGTTACTGTCATTAGTTCTGTTATTGTTATCATTAGATTATCAACTTCGTCATCATTATCACTGCCATTATCATCATCTTCATCCTCATTAATATTCACACCATTCCTTTTCCTCTTGCTATTGTTAGTATTATTAGTGTTACCATTATCTTTATAATGTTAAAAAGTGATCGTCGCGCCAAAAGGAAACCTGCATTCGCATACTGACCGCCGTCCACATCCGGGGCCGCACAGATACCTGACCGCCGTCCACATCCGGGGCCGCACAGCCGCTGGCAGCCGGAGTCCAGCCGGGGAGTCCGCGCGGCCAGCCGAGAGCGCGGGAAAGTCGCCAGCGGGAAAGAAAGAATTCGGTCTTTATATTATTCTGGTGTGAAAAGGAGACTGTATTTTCATTTCGACGTTTACTGCCCCATGGAAGATTTTTATGACCGGTGAATTTGATCGTTCGGTTTTCTTTTCATTTCTTTTTCTTCTTTGTTCCTTTCTTTCATTTTCGTGGGGGGAGGAAGGTCTTGTTTATGTTGCAGCTGCAACCATGTCACCCCTTGTTCGTCAGATCCGAACGCGTTTCTTGTGTTGGTCATTTGCAACCCTAACGCGACAGTGTAATGCGATGTACCTGATAACTTTTGTCGCTTTTCTTTTTTGCTTCTTCTTGCCTTGTTATTTTTTCTTTCGTTCTTTTCATTCTTCCTCCTTTCCTCTGTTTCCCTTCAGATGTCATAGGCGCGTGGAACATGGACGGGGTACAATCTTCCGGGTCCTCATGGTGTACGCGAGGGATATTTCGGTTACTTTGCGTGGTCATTAAAGCAACTTATTACCATGATTATGTTCTTTCTTAAAGTTCTGCATATTTTCTTTCACATATTTATATATACGTACATGTTTCAATAAGAATTTTTTCATACTTTGATTTAGGATCACCTGCTGATCCACAGGTTCTTGAAGCTGGATATCAACAGTATCAGCTCACTTCTGAATTCTCCAAGCAAGATTGCGTTAATGATACCTTTATGAAAACTGCACAACGCCCAAGAGAGGAATCGAGATCCCAGCCACCGACGCCGGTCATTAAGCGACGTGTTTACACCGCGTGATAAGGAGGGAGTCCCTCCGGCCGCGGAATTTCGCTCAGAAACCATACGTCGCTCGGAGGGAGATCCCAGCAACGATAAGGGCGGTTCAGCTATTAGCACACCTTGGCGTAAATCAGATGTACCTTAAGGTGTGAATTATGACAGTCAAGGCGATAAAGAATAACTGCGTGAGTCGTGTGTCTGGAAGCGTGGTGGTCCCAGCTGCCCCCGCCCCCCTCGCGCCCCGGATGGGGGGTTTTCAGGACGAGGTTCCCAACTATTGTTTGCCCAAGACCTGGGTGGAATTCCTCCGTTTATTGTTATTATCATGATTACTATTGGTATTATCATTATTATTATTATTATTATTATTATTATCATTATTGTTATTGTTATTATCATATATCGTATTATCATCATTATCATCATTATCATTGTTATTGTCATTGCTTTTATCATTACTGTTATTATTATTATTACTATTATCATTATTATAGTAACTGTTATTATTGCAATTATAATTATAATTATTCCTATTCTTATAATTATAATAACAATTATTATTATTATTATTATTATTATTATTATTATTATTATTATTATTATTATTATTATTATTATTATTATTATTATTATTATTGTTATTATCATACATCATATCATCATAATCAGCATCATCATCATTATCATTGTTATTGTCATTGCTTTTGTCATTACTATTATTATCATTATTATTATTACTATTATCATATTATAGTACCTATTATTATTGCTATTATTATTATCATTATTGTTATTGTTATTATTATTATTATCGTTATTGTTTTTATTAACATTGTTATGTTCATTGTTATTATTATTATTATCATCATTATCATTATCATTCTCACCGTTACTGTTATCGTATTTTTGTTATTATTATCATCATCATCATCATTCAATTATTATCATCATTAAATCACAATCAATCAGTATGTATTATATATATATATATATATATATATATATATATATATATATATATATATATATATATATATATATTATATATATATATATATATATATATATATATATATATATATATATATATATATATATATATATATATATATATAGTATATATATATATATATATATATATATATATATATATATATATATATATATATATATATGTATATATATTATATATATATATATATATATATATATATATATATAATATATATTATATATATACTCACACACACACTATATATATATATATTATATATATATATATATATATATATATATATATATATATGTATATATATATATATATATATATATATATATATATATATATATATATATATATATATATATATATATATATAATATATATATACGTAATATATATATATATATATATATATATATATATATATATATATATATATATATATATATATATATATATATATATATATATATATATATA